AAAAAAAAAAAAAAAAAGAAGATATAAAAATTCTACATAAACCAGTATCAAGCAATGAAACTGGAGATGTAACTAAAAACCTACCAACAAAGAAAAGCCCAGGCCCTGCTTAATCCACTGCTCAATTCTACAAAAAATTTAAAGAAGACCTGATGTTGCCACTTCTCAAACTTTTTTATGAAATTGAAAAGGAAGCAATAGTCCTCAATTAATTCCTGGAAGCAAGCATTACCCTGATACCAAAATCAGAGAAGGATCCAATCAAAAAAGGGAACTACAGGTCAATCTCCCTAATGAACATAGTTGACAAATTTCTCAATAAGATACTGGTAAACAGAATGCAGCAAATCATCAAGAAGATTATACACCATGACCAAGTAGGATTCATACCAGAGATACAGGGATGGTTCAACATACACAAATCAATAAATATAATGCACCATATTAACAGAGCCAAGGACAAAAACCATATGATCACCTGCAGAAAAAGCTTTTGACAAAGTCCAGCACCCATTCGAGATAAAAAACACTATAGAAAGTTGGAACAGACAGTCTTTATCTCAATCTGATAAAAGCCATCTATGACAAACCAACAGCCAGCATCATACTAAATGAATGAAAACTGAAAGCTTTCACTCTAAAATCAGGAACAAAGATGTCCACGATCACCACTCCTACTCAATATAGTCCTGGAAACATTAGCCAGAGCAATTAGACATGAGAAAGAAATAAAAGGAATAAGGACAGGAAAGAAGTTAAATTATCATTATTCACAGATGACATGATACTCTACATGGAAGACCCCAGAAACTATATCAAAAGCCTTCTAGATTTAATAACCAAATTCAGTAGCATAGCTGGATACAAAGTCAATGCTCAAAAATCAATAGGTTCCTGTACACTAATAACAAACTGAGAGAGAAATTAGGAAAACAATACCTTTCACAACAGCATCCAAAAAAATAAAATAAAATACTTAGGAATTAGTCTAATAAAGGAAGTAAAAGACCTCTACATAGACAATTACAGTCCTCTGTAAAAGGAGATTGAAAGGACATCCAAAAATGGAAAGTTGTCCCTTGTCCTTGGGTAATAAGAACCAATATAGCAAAAACAGCCATACTTCCAAAACTACTATACAGATTTAATACAATTCCAATTTTTTACCAGCAAGTTTTCATGGTTCATCCAAGCTGCAGCATGACTCTGTACTTCACTCTTGTTTTGTTTTATTCTGTTTTGTATTCTAGGGGTGAAACCCAGGGTCTTCCACATGTTAGGCAAGTGCTCTAACATTGAGCTACACCCACAGACACTATTATTTTTTATGACTAATATTCTCCTAAATGGGTTTATCACATTTTAATTATCCATTTATCTGTTGATGAATAGTTGGTACTTTACAAGGACAGAAAAATTTAAAAGTAAAAGTATAGAAAAAAAGCCCAAGTACAAGCCAATCCAAAGAAAAATAGTATAATAAAATTAGTACCAGACAAATGAGACTTTGGAGTGAAGAGCATTAGTTGTGATGATGAAGCTCACTATGTTGTGAAAGGACTGAATTTATCAGGAAAAGATTATACTAACCCTAGACTTGAATGTATCTAGTAAGAATATACATATACAGTACACACAACAGCTTCAAAATATAGGACGCAAAAACTGATAAAAAGGAGAAGTATGAAACCCACCATCAGAATGAGAGAATTATCACTTTCTTGTTAACAAATAAAAAAATTAGTATGGATATAAAAGATCTGAACACATACTCTGGTTTCTCTTCAGATTGCATAAATCTTTTGCCTTTTTAAAAGATCTGAACATGATTAATAAACTTGATAAAAGAGAGTTTTCATTCTCTGTACTCAAGACTTAAAAAATTCAGGTGGGCATGGTGGCACACGCCTGTAAACCCAGCACTCAGGAGGCTGAGGCAGGAGGATCATTGCAAGTTCAAGACCAGCCTGGGCTACAAAGTGAGCTCAAGGCCAACCTGAACTGCATAGTGAGACACTGTCTCAAAAAGACAAAAAAAAATTTAAAAATACAAACTCTTTTCTTATTTCTTTTTTTCTTGGTACCAGGAATTGAACTTAGGACCTTGCACTTGCCAGGCAGATGCTATGCCACTGAGCTACATCCCTGGCCATGAACTCTTTTCAAGCACATGGATCATTTAGAAAAAACTGACCACATGTCCAAGCGTAATGCAAGTGTCAAAAAAAATTTTATTTCAATAATGAGAACTGAATTTAGGGCCTCAACCATGCTAAGCAAGTGTCCCACCACTGAGCTACTGCACCAGCCCACTCCATTCCCATTATAAAATTTAAAAAAAAATTTCACCCAGGCTTTCAACAGATTTCCTAGGCTGGCCTTGAATTCTCAGTCTCTTGCCTCAGTCTCCTGAGTAGTTATGATTAACATGCCTGGCAATATAATACACACAAAAAAATTTTTTGAGAGGTCTAACTAATTAGCTTAGAACTGGACTTGAACTCACTATGTAACCCAAGCATCAAAAAGATAAACCAAAACACAAAGAGCACATTGGAAAATGTTAGAACAGTTCTAAATAACCCATTGGTCAAAGACAAGAAAAGAAAGAAAGAAAGAAAGAAAGAAAGAAAGAAAGAAAGAAAGAAAACACCAAAGTTTTGCAATCGTTTCAAAGCGACCACTATCTGTTTGCTATATTATCAGTAACACAGTTGAGCTGTCCCCAGTCTGTATGCTAAGAGCCTCAACTTACCAGGATTGGTTAAACAAGTTAGGGCGAAGAAAACTAGGTTTACAATCAGGAACAGATAGGGCAGAAGAATGTAAGGCAATGAGAATTCCAGCTCTTGACAGTAGCCAAATACTTCCCAGGTATACTCAATATAAACCAGCCCTTGCAAAACCAGGTGCAGGATAACGAAAGCGTGGTTGCTGAAAGGAAAGAAGTGTGTGGTTTACTCACAGGGCTGTTCCATGAAGAAATCATACAATGCTAAGAAATGTTACGAGGACAACCATTTCCTTTTCAGAATTAAGTAAGAAACCAGGTGAAACATGTCACATATATTTTACAGAAATACATGTCAATCTTTTCCTACTCTTTAAGTCTCTTTTATTTAAAAGCAGATATATCAATCCCCCAAAGATAAAGGGCAGACATTTGTGAGTAGAAGTTCTGAACAAATGACTCTCCATCCTTCTAGCATTCTTCCCCAGCATGAGTACCATGCTGGAAACCAGAAAATGCTTCCCCAAGCTACACAGTAGCAACAAATAAGATAGAAAGAGGTTCATATTTAAACTCTGAACTATAAATACCGTGTGTGGAAGAAGTAATGAAGCCATCTTTGCATGGCTCTCTGAAGGCATTGTGGAATAATACAGGAACATAGCTGAAATAAAAGAAAAAGGCTCAATTTCATTTCTCATTCTCCTCACTTTCAAATTAGATGCTCCAGCAGTATTGGAACAGTACACAGGCAGCAGTCTTGGAGATACTAAATTTTGTTTCAGCTTAAAGGGAGAGAAGCCAGTAAGAAAGAAGAAAGAGGACTTCATTCTAATGGCGTCCTTTGATGCCAACTTCTCCACTTCTACCCTGACCTCAAAGGAGGCACTTGTTGTGGTCTTCACAGAAGAGGTGAGCAGAGACTCTGGGAAGGTTGAAGTGAAGGCTGCTCTTTCCCTTTCTGGGTTTGATCCCAGTTCAAGTTCCACACCCCCACCACTAGCATTAGGCCAGGCCCATCCCGAGTCAATCTCTTTCTTGCTTAGTTTTGTTCTTAATTTTGTCCTCTGTTCTGCCCCCTTTTGACCTTGAAGGAAGATAAGCAGCCCCATGTTTGGCTTCTGTTCATCCATCCCAGTTTCACCAATCAAGCATTTTCAGACACTACTCACATCCATGTGCAACGACAGGCACTATATTCAGAGTTAAAGGGCCAACCTTGATAATGCTATCTTATCTCAAAGCATCACCACTAGGCTACTTTCGGCAATAACAAAAACAAAAACATACAACTGCCGTAAATGAAAGACTAAATGAATCAATGAATTTAAATGGATTCTTTCTTGACCTGTCAGGAAACTGGTGAGTTCTTCTAGCCTAGTGCAGTGTTCAAACTTCAGTGATATTCTAGGATCATTATTACCTGTGCTCCATCCTGGACCAAGCACATCAAACGATGACTTTTTGAGCAGATGCAGATTGTAACAACACTGATCAGCACAAAAGCCAGGTAGAATAAAAAGAGAGCCAAGAAGTCCATCCTTGAAGCTGCCAAGGAACAGAAAGAATATAACTAGCTGCTACTGAAAGATTTATTCCATGGCACATATTCTCAAACTCTTTTAATGGCTACAAAACAGACTTCATTGACCCTCAAGCACATACCACAGAGCACTATGGCCTTTTAGTGGGGCATTCCAGAGGCTTCTTAGTACTTCCCTTCAAGGTGAATGCTGTGTTGTGCCTTTGGGGTATCTTTTTCCTGCAAGCCCTAAGATAAAGTGAAGAAAAATGTATCAATCTTCCTTCCCTCTAGCAACAATTCCTCCTTTTACTTCCCTAATTATTAACATATATATACTATTGTACCCAAAAGAATCTGTCAACATGACCAAAACAAACATTTCTAGAGGCAATCAGGAGTCCTGCCCCAGGATCAGATGTCCTTGTCCTTTGACACGTTCCTCCAGGGCAAACTGTCAGGAACCACCCATGGGAACCACAGACCATTCATTAGTGTTAATAAACTGAAAGTGGTTTACTTTTGGCCTCAGTGGATAGGAGTCTGGGCCAGAAATTCCAACCAAGATAATCGAACCAGAAACTACTCATACCATAAAAGAGGAAACACAGAGCAACAATGCTCACCAGGTAATTCAAGGTATCCAGCTTACATCTTTTCTCCTGATTGGATACTATTTCAGCTGACAACTCTGGCATCCCTCTTCCCAACATGCAGAGAAATCAGCTCCTTTTTAGCAAACAGCTCCTTTCTAGTAGCTCCTCTTAGGCAGCGGTGTGTGAGCCTTGCAACAGGCGGCACCCAAAGCAGTGGGAGACATGGTTCCTCCAGGAGGCTGGATGTGATTGCGGAGACAGATCAGTTCAACCCTCACCCAGTAAGACTAGGAGTCAGCCGCAGAAAGCAACACCCAAGAGGTGAATGAGTTACATGACAGCTGAAGAAACAGCTATTTGGGAAGAAATAGGCAGTAGTCTTGGGCTTATCCTTTCCTATCCTTCTCCGTATTTTTTTTCCTTGTGTGTTTGCCTGTCTGTGTGTGGTGGGGATTGGGACTGGATCCCCAGCTATCTCTTTCTGTCTCTCTCCGTCTCGGTCTCTCTCTCGTTTTGAGACAGGGTCTCGCTAAATCGCCCAGGCTGAGCTCGAACTTGTGATGCTCTGACCTCAGCGTCCCAGAGTGTTGGAATCACAGGCATGCACTACCACGCCCTATTATCCCTCCCTATCACTACTGCTGCCCATATCTGGAGACCAGATAGAAGGCTTCCTAGAGCCTACGCTCTACTTAAGACGCCCTATGAATGGACCTGGCCAGAGCTTTCCCCTGTGGAGGAGGGATGCAACAGGTTCCGAGAGGTCACAGAGGGTAGCCTGCAGCAGACCCGGACACAGGGGCCCGTCTGTAGTAGGCCGGGAGAACCCACCGTGGTTCAGAGTCCAAGATTGTGGGCAAGGGTTAGCTAACTCAGAGGGGACACAAGCTGCCGGGTGTAGCAGGCAGGGGCGCCGAGGCCCTGGGACGGGTAAAAGCAGCACTAGGGAGGAGGAGGTTCAGACAGGGAGATGGACGGCCCCAAGCCCCGCGAAGGCTGCCTTACCCGCCCAGGTTTGGGGAAAACGCCAATTCCACAGTTGCAACCTCCTGGCCGAACCCCGAGACTTCCGGCGCGCCAGTGACATCATCGCGGCGCCCCTGGCTAGGCTGACTTCCGGCGGAAGTGGGGGGCTACCCGTCGCTATGTGATTGGTAGCTTTAGTTCGTCTAGATAATGGGTTTTAAGTGCCCAGTTTCCAGGTAGACTTGAGAAAAGGACGATCCTGCCTGGTACAGCAGGACCGTAGGGCTGTGAAACAGGCGCGACCTGCGAAGAGCGCAGACGTGTACCGCTCACGGCCGAGCAGGGGTCCTGGGAGGTTCAAGGCTGTTGCACTTAGGAAGCTCGTATACTGTGTGTTTTCATAGTGTACAAGTTGCTCGCAGCCGGCCACATCGTTGGAATCTGTTCGGCCCATTCCAGAATCTTCCACCGCAGATGGCACAATATGTGCCTGTCTGAGTCAGAAGCTGCTCTACGCATGTGCTTGCCCCCGCTGTTTGCATACAGACCTGAACATCTCCCCCTGGGGCCAGTGACAAGTGCATGATCATAAACCTCTTAAATAAAAGAGAAGGCTTGTTTTGATGATAGCCAGACTTGGGGTGAGAAAGCTGCTTCCAAACAGCGTTGAGAAGGCTCCTGCGGGGTGTTCCTGTACTGTAAACGCCTCCAAATCCGCTGAGAAAGATCTATTCTTGATGCCTCTGAAAACCTGAGCCAAACCTGTCCTCCCTTTGAGGGAAAAATGTCTGATCTCTCAACACGGGCTTCAAAGCCTTTGCTTTTCCTGTTTGTCTTTGCCGCCTACCCCAGCTTCTTGATTCCTTTTTTTTTTTTTTTTTTTTTTTTTAATATTCCTTACTGAGCGGGCCACCTTTGGAGTACATCATTCACCTTCCCAAACTTGTGAACATAGAATCGGAAGATGTGATATGACCAGAGAAAACTGGGTGTAGATGGAGCCCATCACATGGCCAGAAGAGGGACAGGTATCTTTAGGGTCTCCAGCTGACACCACTCTTGGTTGACACTGAGCTGGGGGTTAAATATTTTAAATTACTTTTTTTCCTCATAAATGCAAAACTTTATTTTTATCCCTTTTCATTTTGCTATGGGTAGTTTCAAACTAACTTTGAACCTCGGTTTGATCACCTATGGCATTTTGTGCTGGGTTATATTTCATTTTTTGAAATAAATCCAAGTAATAACATGTCTTAGTAAAAGAGTCAAACTATCCAAAACCAAATAAAAATTTTCCTTGACCAGCATCCCTCCTGAATCCCAATCTCATGACAGAATTATTGTTACTTAGTGTGTATCCTAAAAATCCTTCTCTCTCTCTCTACCTATCTAGAGAAAGATATCTATCTATATCTACATCTTTTTATCTATATTTATATATATATTCAACAAAACATATATTGAGTGCTTAATGTGTACCAGATGCTGAACTAGAATTTTTTTTTTTTAAACCGGGAATCAAACTTGGGACCTTGCACTTGCCAGGCAGGTGCTGGTGCCGCTGAGCTATATCCCCGGCCCTAGATGCTGAACTAGACACCAACAATATTATCGGTAAACAAAACAGAAATAGGCCCAGTGTGGTGGCTCACACCTGTGATCCCAACACTTGGGAGACTGAGCCCAAAAGGATCACCATAAGTTTGACGCTATCCTGGGACACATAGTGAGTTTAAAGCCAGTGTGAGCTACATAGAATGTGTCTCAAAAAAAAAAAAATTCCTTAATTTTGTGGATTTACACACTTGGGAGACTAAGACAGGAGATCGTTATGAGTGCAAGGCAGCCTGAAATACATAACAATACCATCTCAAAAAAAGAAAGAAAAGAAATGGCATTGTGTTACACATAATGGTTCTCCAGATATGTCTTTTTACTCAACATCAAGTTTTTGTGATCTTTTCACACCACTCCTAAATTGTATTTACTGCATTATATCCGTGGTGACATAGGCTAAACTGTGCCTATTCCACCAGTGTCCCAAACTCCACTGCCTATAGCACTGCAATTAAATGACAAAGTAGACTAGGCCTGCTTTGTTCTAAGGACAAGTAGCCATTTATATAGACCACAGGATTTTTGCCCTTAATCAAAGGATCCAGAATTCCAGGATTTTAAGGGCCTTTATAAATCAGGATTTTATAACATAAGGGAAAGAAAACATTCAAAGGCCTTATCCAAGGCACTATCTTCTAACTTCTCTCCTGTCTTCTTGCTCCCATTCCTGCTTTTCACAACAGTGAAACTTGCACTGCACTGGAACACTATAACGGACAGTTGAGATTTCCTACTCGGTATGTCTGGTACAGCCCTCCCTGCATATTCTTTGGGTAGAATTACACCCATTTCCAACCTTAAGGGTGGGTCCCACCAATTAAATTGGTCTTGGCAAATCAGGGTAATCTTGCTATCCTTATCACAATAATTTTTCAAATCAGGACAACCAGGGCGTAGCAAGACTTCAGTGCAAATGAACTGATTACAGTATAAAGGCTAGGATTCTCTTCAATGGTTCCTCCTCTCTCACCAAGTTGAATGAAGATATTAAAGGGCCAAATGTAGTGGCTCATACCTGTTATCTCAGCACTCTGGGAGGCTGAGGCAGGAGGATCACAAACTTGAGCCCAGTTTGGGCAGCATAGTGACTTAGAGAGAACTTGTCTCAAAAGAAAATAAAGGGCTGGGCATATAGCTTAATGTAAAGGTCCTGGGTGCAATCTCTAGTACTGAGAAGGGGTGGGGAAGGGAAATTAAAGAATTCTTGAAACCTCACTTCCTTTAGGGACCCTGAAGGGAGAGGAGCATGAGGAGTGAGAACCGAGACAGGCACAGAAAAATGGAGCTGAATGAACCATGCCTGATGCTTAATCCACCTTTGACTTTCTGAGTAGGTGAACCATTTTTCAAACCATGTTTAGCTATGTTTTCTGTAACTCTTCTCCCATTTCATGATTTTCTTTTTAAACAAATTTAAAATTTTATCAAAATACATAAATAATGGCAAAGCCAGGCCTGGTGGTGCATGCCTGTAAGTCCAGCCCTTGGGAGGCTGAGGCAGGTGGATCACTGCAAGTTCAAGGCCAGCCTGGGCTACGTAGTGAGTTCAAGGCCAGCCTGGACTACATAGCAAGACCCTGTCTCAAAAAAAATATAAATAATGGCAAAGAAAAAATTATTTTTGCCTTAACTGCTACTTTACTACTATATATATTTTATATGCATAAAATGTGAATTTTTATATTCACTCAAAAGGTTTACATGGCTGCAATCATAGTATATAGATAATTTTGATTTGTTTAGTTTACTATAAGTGGGTTCTAACAAGATAGTCTCATTATTACTTGGAGATACAATATAATGACCTTGACATTCTCTAATTGTTGGACATTTGTATTGTTTCCTACTCTTTTATTGTTATGAATAGTTCTGCAACTAGACTATTCATTGCTTTTTTTAAAAATTATTTTTTTCATGATGAATTTATCAGTGGTTGGTCAGTTCCTGAAAATCACATGCTTCCGCCATTTTATTTATTAATGTAGGGGAAAACACTATTAAGCCTAAAACTAAAGCTGTAACTCAAGTGTGATAGAAAGGATTGTATCGCCCTTGATGCGAGTAGCAAAGAATCCTTCTTAGGAGCATCCCTAAACCCTCTTGTTAGCCTGAAACTGGACCTGTGGTATCAGTTGTTTACCTGCTGCAAGATCATTTGACAGGATCAACCACCTTTTACATCATGATCTCTTGTCCCCAGGGGAATGACTGAGGCAATACTTGGGAAATGGGATATAGGACTTCATAGCTACTCTTGCAATAGACACATAGCACAGGATGCTTGTTTACAGTGATTTATTGGCCATGAGGAATTTTGCAACGGAGAAACAAAGAAAAGAACCAGCAATGTAACAGGGTCTTGCTCTGCTACCAAGGCTGGGCTCAAATTCATGATTGTTCTGCCTCAGCCTCCAAATAGCTGAGATTACAGGTGTGCACCATTATCCCCAGCTACAAAGGTATTTTTGTTGGAGGGCAAGGACTGGATGTGTGTTTGCTTATTATTATGTCAACAGCAACTATTTTAATGCCCAGCTCACAGTAGATGCTTAATAAACATGTGTTGAATGAATGAAAGAAAAAGGATGAACTATACGTGGAGGAAACTTGTATGGTAGAATAGGTAATACCAAAACAAAAATTGCTCTGACCAGTAGGTGGGGCCACGGTGTGTGTCACTGTTGGGCAGCTCAGAGCCCAAAATACAGGTTCTCCAGTCACAGTTTTGAATTCCTACTTGTCTTCCATCAGTGTGCTCAGACACCATGTAAAAGAGGGTGGTTGGGGCAGAAACTCCACTTCTTGGCTCTCTGAACTGATCTTAAACCAGTGTATCACACAGCTTTCCTTGTACTGAAAGCTATGTTGTTACTCGGGTCACCAGTACTTCTGGTCACCATTAGGCGTGGTCACTCCCTTCAGAAGGAGGCTGAAGAAGGGAAAAGCACAACATTGTAAACACTTTGCTGAGACCTGTGGGGGAAAATGAAGAGGAATTTCTGGAGTGATATGACTTACTTATAAAGCATAATCAAAACTGCAGCGAATGTTTAAATTTTAAAAATTTTAAATTCTTACAATAAAAGACACCTTGCCATGAATCCTCTTCTAAATACCCACCTTGTGTCAAACATATTCATCCCATCATTCTTGTCATTTTCTGAAACAGCTGTAGGAGTCTTCTTGTCTTTATTTGTGCTATCATGGCTGCCTCAGTATTCTGGATTGGTTCAAAATGTTATAGCAAGTTTTCTCAAATAAAAACATTACAGTAGTCCTCATCCACCTTATTCACCAGATTTGGTATCATGTGACTTCTGATTCTTTCCAAAAGTCAAAATAACAATGAAAGGGGAACACTTTGAATCACTGCAGGACATCAAGGTAGCCATGATATTGCAATTAAAGACACTCATGAAAGAGAACTTAGAGATCTGCTTCAGAAAGTGGCAAGAATGTTGGGATAACTGTTCTAAGAAAGGGGGAATGTTTTGAGGGGGATTGATAAC